AAAAAACTCATAAAAAATCATGGTTGTCTACTTATCAAATAATTAATATTTGAATGAAATCAACCATCCAATCATTCAAATATTAAAGAATTACCTTAATTCATTTGATGAATACCCAGTAGAAAATTTCCACAGTCTAGTTAGAAGACACACAAATGCAAAGGTATTAATTCCAGAATGGTTGAGACATGATGGGATCTTTGTTGAATATCAACATCATGATGATAACTTTACCCAAAATTTTAGAATAAAAAAATCTTATCCATATTCAAAACAGAATATTGATTTGATGATAAAAAGTGGTGCAATTTTTTTGTTAAGATTTTTTGACAATCTTTCAAAAAACATTGGAAAGTTGAAAAAAAAATAGGAAGTTAGAAGAACAAAAAAGTCTTACTGGTATTTTCCAGGAATTTCAAAAGGATTTGCCAAAGGAGCATTACCATTAGGACACCATTCAAATCAACATCCACATCTTGATTGTTTCTGTGATGCAATCAAATGTGAAAATCCTTATTTAATTAATGGACATGTTAAATTATGTAGTCATGCTTATCATGATGACTGCTGGAAACAATTAAAGTTTGTATGCATTCATTGTCATAATTACCTTTCAGATTCAATTGATGAATTATCTGAGTCATATAATAAATGATTGGAAATGGATGAAATTCAAAATGAGTTTGAGCCACCTATAGATGAACTATTACAACAAGAAGAATCAAATCAAATTGATACAGTACCAATTTATGAAGAAATAAATCAACAATTAAATAGAATAATTACAGGTACTACAAATATTATTATATAAACTCTATGTTGTATAATTATTGAATATATCAAATATATAATTAGATTTCAGTAAAAACAAACCCTTAGAATTCTAAAAGCAGCTAATTCTGGAAGTAAAAAAAAATAGTTGATGTTATGATGAATTTGATGAGATTATTTTATTTTTTAGAATCCAAAAATTTCAAGTGAAATAAACACTTGCCAATTCAGCATATTATTACATTATATTTCCATTGAGTTATAGAATAACCAAAGTTTTAACTATTTTAGTTTTTTTACTGATTAATGATTAATAGACAAAAGATTATTTAATTTTTTTTTGCAGAAAATGGTTTTTGCATGAGAATTCTTTTTACCAGTCCCCGGTTTAAAATAAGAAGAGAGAACATTGAATAATAAATAAAATTGAACTATTATACATTTTGCTCGAGTAAATGTTAAAATTGATATTTTTAATTTCAATTTTCATTGGTCAATCTCACTTGATTTTTGTAATACCATAACAGCCAATGATAGGATTTTTATCTATGCTACTATAAATAAAAAATTTATGCATATTAATATAGCATGGTGGACATTCCTTTTATATTATTTATATTATGTCAATTGTTTTAGAATAAACAATGGGTTACACTTATGAGGTGGGCGCAAGTACACTAAATAACAAC